CAAAAAAACAGTCCATGTGCTTGATTTTTTGTATTAGGGATTTCAGCTTGGATAGGGAAAAGGGGTTATGAGATGCCCAAGTTGATTAAGGAATAACACAAATGAGCATAATTTCCTTTTCTAGCATACTGTAAAATTGACAGATATTCCACTGTGTTCCAGCCAGAACCACAACAGTCTTTAGCAAAGTAAACACCTCCCAGGAATTTGATGTCCCGAGTGCATTTTCAGCAAATTGGCAACTTATAGGAGCTCTGGGCCTCCCTTGTGAACAAAATACCAGCCCACCTGGCTACAGTATCTGATTCCAAGACAATGGATCAGGTAAGCTATAAACTGTTCCCTAAAGACTTGCCAAGAACTTGCATCTAGCAGACTTCTCCCTTATAGGCCCTGGGGGTGTAAAGATACTCACACTGTCCTTATCCTGCAGCTGTAGATAGAACTGCTTTCAGGCCTTCGGCTGGGCCAGTTCTTTCCCATACTCTGCAGGCTGTCCTTCCCTTGTGGACTGCAGGGCAGTGGAGCTCCCTTTTTCAGCTTTCTCCCTTCCTCCAACCTCCAGCCTGGAGGCAAACTCCCCCTTTCTCCAGAGCCCCTCCCAGGCTACACAGCAGCACCTCAACCATCCATTTTCCACCTGACATCTCTTGCTGGCCAGGTTCTCTCATATTTATGAGCCAGTCTGCCACACTACCAGGCCTGTCTGGGAATGGTCAGACTCCCATAAATATGCAGATCAGCTCCTCCTCACCTCTACCTACTGACTTCTAGAAGCTTCTAGAGCAGGGGGGAGGTACCAGAGGGCTGACCTGTAGAGCCATCCAGCCTGCCCTGAAGTAGCCCTCTGGCTCACACCCAGGCTTCTAGCAAACCTCTAGCTACACTAAATAAACTATCTACACTTCAGGGCCCAACGTTATTGTACAACAGAACCAAGCAGTCTATGGCACAGATATAAAGATACGCACACTATATGAAGAGCGGTGCAGAAATGTACAGTACTGTATTCATCAACTGCGGTACCAGAGGGCAGCCTTGGCTAGCAGGGATATTGTTCTATAAGAAAAGGTATTTAGGCTGAAGTAGTACTTCCCACCGGCTCCACATCTCTGTACTAAATATCTGGAGTGTAAGCAATGACCAAGGAGCCTGCCCTAAGCCCTACTCCACAGGAACCTTTCCCTACACTTTGCTCTCTACCTCAAAAATGGGCATTCCCTTATTTAAAAGATTCCCATGCCCACAATGGCTGCCAAAGTCTTTCAAGAGTTCAGTGTGCAATCAGTCTTCTTCTTCTCTTGAGGCACTGTATGGAATCTATAAGGCCCCATTCACATCTTGCAATTTGGGATCGTGGTTAGAATCACTGAAATTCTGCCCAAGATTCCAAATTGCATGGCAATCGCAGCTCAACGCACTGCGTGTGTTTGGGTGACATTATCTTTCAATGGCACCCCAAATGCAATGCAGTTCTGCTGTGATTGTCGGACGACAGGATCATGCAGCAATTGCGGCAAACCATGCCTTCACAAATCGTGTGAAGCTTGTTGCGTGAAAAGGAACAAGAGCTTATTTTTGGTCGACAAACGTGTCATAGGGCAGCCCATTCAAATGAATAGGTTGCCCTATGCAATATGCAGAATTGCATGAAAAGCGCAACATCAAAATCATATAGTAGGAACACTCGTTCCCCTTACGCTATGATGTAAATGGGGCCTAAGGTCCCAATTCCCTTATGAGACTCCCCTTCCCATTTAATAATAACACATAGCCACACACAGGTGAGAAGGTTAACTGCACCTGCCTATATAATGAAATGTTACAAAATGACATTTCATTCACTTCTATGCACTTCAGCAAAGCTTGCGGTAACCACTTCAATGCAGAAATATGGTCAGAACAGAAAACATAGGAAACCACTGATCCAGGATTACTTGGGCTCAGAAGAAATGGGTTGAATGATGCTGGCCATTAGACTAAGGACACCTAATAGCAGAACAAATTACTACTGGGGAAATCTCTAGACTGAAGTGGAATTTTGTAGGTTTTATTTATTTTTTAATCTTTTAGGCTCCATTCACACTTACAACTGGACCACTAATGATTAGATACAGGAAACCCAACAAGGGTTTCCAGTGATTAGCAGCAGGAAAAAGTCCCATTGAAAGCAATGGGAAACTGGCAGCTCCTGCAGTTATTTGTGGACGCTCACATGTAATCATTCATGGTGCGATTACCTTGTGAATGATCAACCCTGGACACAGAGGGGTTTATTTACTAAAGCTGGAGAGTCCAAAATCAGACTCCCTTCTGCATAGAAACCAATCAGCTTCTAACCTCAGCTTGTTCAATGAAGCTTTGGCAATGAAACCTGGAAGCTGATTGGTTTCTATGCAGAAGGGAGTCTGATTTTGGACTCTCCAGCTTTAGTAAATAAACCCCAGACTGTCATGGAATTCTGACAGGTCATGTGGCCTGGTTCTGTTCCTGTTCTTTTTAACTGCCCTCTAGTCATATTTATTGTTTATCTACCTCTTGAAGCCAGTGTAATAAATGTGCAGAGCTGTGGGTTTTTTAAGCAGCAAAGCCATACCAATGTTTTCTGACTAGACCTCTAAGTTTTAATGATGAATTTACAAAACAGGCATTTTGTATATAATGAGAAGACTGGGTAACTTCTGGCTTGAAGAATGAAGTTAAATACATTTTAACAACTACAAAATGGCTGTTCAACAACTGCGTAACATTACAAATGCTATTCATCACATAACGTAATTGTAATATACACTGACAGTTCCTCAGAGACTGTATGTATCCATCATATAATTTGCTGTGTCTGCTATCAAAGAATGACCTTTGCCCTTCAGAAGCCATCTTCCCATACAGAATTCCAGAAATGGCAAAAATCTCATGCCACATACAAAGGAACCTATGTTTTATTCTAAGACAATATTTCTCTTTTAAACTTGACAAAAGACATGTATGATGACAGAAGTAGCAAATAAAGCCATTTTGTACACAGAAAGACATATGATGGAAATGCCAAGAAAATGAATGATGTCTGTGCATACATATATATATTTATATATAATAAAGTAAACAAAAAAAAAGGAAAAGAATAATTAATTAAAAGAAAATAATAATAATATATATATATATATATATATATATATATATATATATATATATATATATATAAAACCAAGCATACAATCAATATAAACTAATCAAGTTTCTAAGAGGTAGTGAATGTTAAGGCAAAAAAGACTGATTTTGTACATCTCTGCGAAATACATGCATATTTCCCCATGTTTTAACTCTTACAGTAAACATGCTGCAACTACAGAAATATAACTATATAACTGTAACTATGACAGAATTTTCGTGTGTACCTATTAAAGGGGAGTTAAATCCAAAACCAAAAATTTAAAGTGTAACTAAAGGCAAAGCTTTTTGTAGTCTTGGATAGAGTGGAGAGAGATTAGAACCCCTGTCAGTCTTTATTGCTGTCTAAGTTCCTGTTAGAGAGATTCACCCTCTCTATTTGTCCTGTTTACTCTCATCATCGAAAGTGAAAGTAAACAAAAATTCCAAATTTTGGGTTAACACTAAAACAGTAAGAGGGGAAATCTTCCAATGGGCACACTATTTCTGGTGACCTTGGTCACATGCTAGGATTTACTCGCTTTGGAGGGACTTTTTCTCACTTCCTGTTTTCAGACAGGAAGTGAAGGGAAATCACCCCTATGGGACACAAATGGCAAAAAAACTAAGAGGAGATATACACTTTCTTTTACTGTACCCAAATTAAAAAACGTTTTGCCTTTAATTACACTTTAACATATTGCAGCTTACCAATCCTTGGTTTAACTAGATAGTTTTCTTTTTTACCCTCTGTTTTCACCTGGTGATCTGACCTATAACACAAATGTAGGTGGGGCCCACCAGAGCATAGTAAATGAGCAGAAGCTCTACTGACTTCCATCATCCAATCAGGTGTAAACAAAAATGCTGTTTATTTTATTGTCTTTGCATGTAATTGGGTATTCTTTATAAAGTGAAGCTTTACCTCATTTACTAAGCTCTGGAGCAACTGCACTTGCAGAGTGCAACTGCACCTTGCAAAGTGCACAGTCTAGTTGCCTTTAGTAAATAAACTTCTAAATCTTCAAGGTGGCCACATAGGGGGATTTACTAAAACTGGAGCACACAGAATCTGGTGCAGTTGTGCATAGTAACCAATCAGCTTCTAGGTTTCATTTCCAAAGCTGAATTGAGCAAGCTGAAGTTAGAAGCTAATCAGTTGCTGTGGACAACGGCACCAGATTCTATGTGCTCCAGGTTTAGTAAATCTCCCCCATCATGTGTGCTTTGAGCCCTGCATGAGTTCTACTGAGGTCTGCACCTACCTAATTCCATAAAAATATTATTGCACTTTGTACCTCAATATTACAGTAAAAATTGCAACTTACAACATATTATTCTAGAAAAAGAGGGACCTTTAAGCATTTCCTAATGTATTTAGCAGCAAAATTATGTACAGAAGGGTAACTTATCAACTGAGAGAACAGTTAGGGGCACATTCTGTATGTTTATTCCTAAATCAATAAGGGCCACAAGGAAGAAGCAAAAGGGACACATGGAACCCATAAAACACTAGTTTGGCATGCCTGCTCTAAGGTTTGAAACAGGTCAAACATGTTTTTTTGTACTTTGCAATCCGAGGGGTTGGGGTGATACTTATCCATCACCAAAAAGTTTTATTCCTGTTCCAGATGTGTTCCAGTTTACACCTAATATCGGAGCGACTTAGACTGCTTTACATCGTTAAGCTGCACAGAGCTCTTGCTAAAATGGCAAAGAAGTGGTTTGCAATCTTGTTTTTCTTATCATTGACATCCTTTGTGTTACCTCGTCCTATTTCATGTGACTTTGTTCGTCTCTTTGGAGTTGATGCTTACTTTTGTTCTGGTAATCTCCATGTAATCTACCCAAACATGGGAGATGTATCCTGCGTGTACATACCCACCTGCTACGAGTATTCCCAAAGCTTAAGCAAAGTCTGGGGAGCACCACTTATTAAATTTCCTGATGCCAGGCCAGAAAACCTGTACACCTTAATTATGGTGAATCCTGATGCACCCAGAAGATCTAAGCCAATACACAGATTCTGGAGACACTGGTTGGTCACAGATATCCCAGGTGAAGATCTTCAAAAAGGTGTTGTTACTGGAATTGTGCAATCAAAGTATTATCGTCCAAAACCACTGCGTCATACTGGACTCCATAGATACCAGTTCCTAATCTACAAGCAACATCCTCAGGTCTCTCCATTTCTCCTACCCAGTGAAAAAATTCTGGCCCGCTTGGGACGTAGCTGCATTTGCTCATCGATCCAGGCTGGGTGATCCTGTGGCTACGACTCAGTTCATGGCCTTGAATCCACGTTTATAGGATTCCATAAATTCCTCTGACCATTACTGTGAGGTGTGTTATTGAATGTATATTGGGTACTAAGTTAAAGCAATTCTGTCACTTTACTCAAACCCTGAATAAAAGTTGTACTTGCAAAGAAGCAAGTAAATGCTTATTTCTCCTGTAGCTCATACTATTGAACTTGCCTTTAAAAATCTTCCAAGGTCTCTTCAGAAAACAAGAAATGGACAGTTTCTCTAGTGTCGAGCTCCTGTATCCTCCGCTGTGCTCAGTTGTTCCTCCTGCCAACCCACACATCTCAGCAGGATACAGTAGTGGCTTGGGGTTCAGCAGGCGGACCAATGAGTGCTGCAGGGAATGCAGGACATTGACACTCCAAGGCATGTTGGTGTTTCAATACACTTCAGAGGACAATTTCTCATCAACAAATCAGGGTTCAGCAACTTGGGCTGCAGGAGAGGTAAATATTTTCTAGCTTCTGTGCAGGTGCAGCTTTGTTCAGAGTTTCAGTTTAGCAACATAGTTACTTCAGGAAATCGTATTGCTTGTCTCCACCAATAGGTATAGAGAGATGTGGGGCTGCATATAACAAAGCCTCTGCTTTTGAGTGTTATGACTTTTTTAGATTAAGATTCTGTTTTATTCTATCATGAATTTTAGTCATGACTATTGCTAGTTCTAAGAAGACAATCTATATGTATATCACAGAAGCGCACACAATATAGGACTTTACTGGCATTAAAGGGAACCCACACATTATATTGTGTAAAAGTACAAATTGTATTCACAACACCAGAACAACATTAAAAATTGTCTACAAAAATTGCTCAATATCAGTACAAAGGCTTCCTACTGCTGACTCACTCTACCACAAAAATAGCATACATATGTAAGAATGTCGATATTAAAGTATCTACATCAAACAATGTGGTGGTGGGTCCTCATGAGTCAACGCATTTCTCTTTAGTTTCCTTAGGACGCATGAGGCTACAGCAGCGGTTACTATATTAGAAAACAAAAAGAGCATTTTATATAAACAACCAGTATAATGTATATTAGAACATATTTTTCCACATACAGCAGTTAAATTGAACAATAAACATCTCTACAATTATAACTCCACCTTCATTCAGCATGCGTTCGCAACATGGGTAGTCCCCTTGGGCGGGCACTGGAACACATATAGTGATCGACGACTGGTCAACCGCAGTGTGAAACTTGCTCTATAACAAATATATACGTATGAGCATGCCAAATAGACATAATAAGTTAGACTATCCAATGTAATAACACCATCAATTGTACCTGAAGGATTACAGTCAATGGTCAGGTCCACTTATTTATAGTTGGGAATATCCTACTGGGAATATTAGTTGTTATATGGATCTATGCTGCCTTTGAACAAGATACAATCCCTTAAAAAAAGGAAGATATATCGAGAATTGGTGGAAGTTACTGTATATAAGGTCATATAGACTAAAACAACTGTTATTAGGGGAATAAACATTACTGACAACATACCTCTTATAATTAAGATGAGTTTCCCATGACTAAACGCATCCTGCACAAGGACAGAGCCAAACAGCTGTCCATCCATCCAGTCCCCACTACATCGAGAAACACCATAGACACTGGCTTCAAAAATGGTATATATGCAAGCCTATGGCAAATACAAATCACCAAAGTAAACAATATAGACCTCTACTCCTCAACTTCTATATCAAACACAGTAGAATAAAACAATTGGCTGTCTAATATCTTCATCGCTTACCATGTTGGGACCAATAGCGCCTCACTGGAACTCCCTGGAGGCTAGCCTGGGTAGTCCCTCCTTATAAGTGCACCCACCGATGGACTCCTGCCTTGCAGCCGCACGTCGTCGGTGCTGGCCTATGATGTCATCCATCAACGTGGCTATCATGACTGGGCATGTCTGGACAGAAGTTACACAATCTGTGCTTACATTTATATAGAAACATTTTATTAATCTACAATAACCAGTAACTGTAGAATAAAGAAATATAAACTGTCAAGATAGAAATACTGAACTGCCACTGCTGAACTGACACAGTAAAATCTCCAGGGTGGCCACCTTGATTCTTGCTTCTCTGCTTAGAAATACGTGAAGCCAATGAATTGTTAAAACACCTAATCTGCATATTTGGCCCAGGTCACAAAGTAGTAAAGCAAGGATGACAGTCCTATATCTTGAAGCTTTAAAAACAAGTCAGCTCCCATATTTCTGCCCAGACAAATTTTCTTTACATTTCCAATCAATCTGTCAAGAAAGTTTTTGTCATTTATCAGGTTCCATGTATAAGAAGCACAAGGATACCAATCACAAAGGAAAACCAAGATGTGTGGACATATATTTTCAACATCATATATATATATATATATATATATATATATATACCATATTGCCAAAAGTATTGGGACACCCCTTTAAATCATTGGATTCAGCTGTTCCAATCACCTCCATGGCCTCGGTGTATAAAATCAAGCACTTAGGCATGCAGACTGCTTCTACAAACATTTCTGAAAGAATGGATCGCCCACAGGAGCTCAGTGAATTCAAGCAGGTTGCCACCTGTGCAATAAGTCCATCCGAGAACTTCATGGAATGGGTTTCTATGGCTGAGCACCTGCATCCAAGCCTTACATCACCAACTGCAATTCAAAGCATTGGATGCAGTAGTGTAAAGCACGCCACCACTGGACTCTAGAGCAGTGAAGACGTGTTCTCTGAATCACGCTTCTCTGTTTGGCAATCTGATGGACATGTCTGGGTTTGGCAGTTGCCAGGAAAACAGTACTTGCCTGACTGCATTGTGCCAAGTGTAAAGTTTGGTGGAGGGGAGATTATGGTGTGGGGTTGTTTTTCAGGGGTTGGGCTTGGCCTCTTAGTTCCAGTAAAGAAAACTCTTAAGACGTCAGCATACCAAGATATTTTGGGCAATTTAATGCTCCCAACTTTGTGGGAACAGTTTGGGGATGGCCCCTTCCTGTTCCAATGTGACTGCACACCAGTGCACAAAGCAAAGGGCCATAAAGACATGGATGAGCAAGTTTGGGGTGGAGGAACTTGACTGACCTGCACAGAGTCCTTAGTTCAACCCAACAGAACACATTTGGGATGAATTATAGCGCAGGATGCGAGCCAGGCCTTCTCGTCCGACATCAGTGCCTGACCTCACAAATGCGCTTCTAGAAGAGTAGTCAAACATTCCCATAGACACACTCCTAAACCTTGTGGACAGCCTTCCCAGAAGAGTTGAAGCTGTTATTGCTGCAAAGGGTGGGCCAACTCAATATTTGACACTACGGACTAAAACTGGGATGCCATTAAAGAACGTTCATGTGCGTATAAAGGCAGGTGTCCCAATACTTTTGGCAATATAGTGTATACGAATGATAAACCCATTGTCCTTCCCTGAATATGTGTCATTATATTGTATATTTGACATAAAACGGTTAATCCTTATTTGATTCTACATTCAGCTGTTGCACAACCTTTTAATGGGCTAAAGTCAATGATCAAAGAGAATTTATTCTTTGTCAGCACTTGATCTGGTGCCATGCTGGCAAAATTAATACTATACTGGTTCTCTTCCAGTTTACTCTCTTTCTCTAGTAAATAAAGTGTGTATAACTTTGCAGGTGGTTTTTTCACTGGAAACCCAAGAAGGAGAGCTAGACAGAGACAGGATTGCTTTCTGCATGTGCCAACCATATGGTAACTGATCCAACAATTTGGAAGACGTCTATGTTATAGAAGCTAAATTCGAAGGCTCTTACACATAGGAGTGGGATCTTTTTCTGCACATTACCAGAGAAAGAATCTGTATGGACTCTGAGGAGCAATGTACAGCAAATCAAGGCCAACTTGAATGTTGCATGCAATACTTGGCCCAACAAAAATGGGAATGTTGGTTAAGCTCAATATAGTGTTTTAGACCTGACATTTGGAAGTGTTTGGTAGTTGGAGATTAATCACTCTCTAATAATGCCCATCTGTAGGAGCCAGATTCTGACTCTGCTCCTACTTCTGCTGTTGGTGAAATAATTTGCAATATGGTTATGCCCAAATCTCACAGATGTTGGCATTCACTGTAAGTATCATATCAAATGTCCATCCCATCCAGGGGACAGTGGGGTAACCCTGTGATATCAACACACATATGCTGATATTGACCTTACTTGATCTCCAATCAAGATTCTTCAATGTTCCATCAGAAAAAAAAAATCTCTAGGCAAAAATCCCTCTCACCCACTTCTACCCATTTACAATGAGAAAAATAAAAACACTTGAAAAACACTATTCATTAAAAAACAGTAAGGTGTTCTAAAAATGGCAGCAGTGCCAAGTGAATGGGACCCCATGTGTTAGTGTAGAAGGGAAGCAACTGGAAAATCACGGCTGTCACTGTAATAGCACTGATTACTACGGTAATTGTCAGCTTCCCCAGCGGTATGAGATATGTATACTTACACTGGACCAATGTATTCTTGCAATAAAGATCATACTTGCAATCCAGCTTAACAAAAAAATCATTAAAGCTCATCTTTAGGGTAACATTCCCCCCATTACAATTGAAAAAAAAAAAACAAATAAACCTAAAGCCCAAATTCCTTTTCTTGAATTCATGGTCCCATGACCCTGAGTCTTCTTTCCTTTTGACTGTTTGGCAGAAGAGTCATCCTTCGAGTGCTCATGTAGCTCCATGGTGATATGGCTGTTTCTCAATGGCTGTAAGAAGAGTTCATTGGAGAGGTATGAAATATGTAAAGTTAATAAGGGAGGTGCCCCCACACAGTGACATTAGCCCGCACGGTCCTTATGAACAACCAGCGGCCATCTTGATATTTCATGTAAGTTGTTTACCTGTTTTTATACTACATCCTTTAATAAAAAATACTACACTATCGGATACCTCTTTTTTGGGCTTGTTTGTTCTGCGAGCCCCCCCTA